CTCTCTCTCTCTCTCTCTCTCTCTCTCTCTCTCTCTCTCTCTCTCTCTCTCTCTCTCTCTCTCTCTCTCTCTCTCTCTCTCTCTCTCTCTCTCTCTCTCTCTCTCTCTAACCGGGCAAATTGAAAGCATCCAGTAAGCTTCAATTCTCTCTCTTCCCCTCCCCCACAGTCTCCATTATAGGTGCCCCCTTTCGTCTCTCCAAATGAGTGCTCTCTCTCTGTCTAGATGTTGAAAATGTTCAGTGGGAGAGATAGGTGCAATCTCTCTCCAGATTTCTCCTCTCTATTCACTTTCTCTCTCATGATTTGCAGTGGACAAGCCCTCTTCCTCAACAACAACCGAAGAACCCAACACCTCCCCTGAGAACTCACCCATCGAGCAAGTCGCCCTAACGGTCCCCGTTACCGATGACCCTTCGCTGCCCGTTATAACGTTCAGGATGTGGTTCTTAGGGTGTCTCTCTTGCGTTATCATCTCCTTCCTCAACCAGTTCTTCTGGTTCAGAACCGAGCCTTTGACTATAACCTCAGTTTCAGCACAAATTGCGGTTGTACCCCTCGGCCACCTCATGGCCGCCGTTCTACCTACTCGCCCCTTCTTCAAGGGCAAGCGTTGGGAATTTACGCTGAATCCAGGGCCTTTTAATGTGAAGGAGCATGTCCTTATAACTATTTTTGCTAATTCAGGGGCCGGATCTGTTTTTGCAATACATATTGTGAGTTCGGTGAAGGTATTCTACAAGGAGACCCTCTCATTTTTTGTGGCCTTTTTGGTTGTCATCACTACTCAGGTGAGTCAGCTGTTTTCTTACTTTTGTATTTATCTATCTCCAACCTGTTTTTTTCAATTTGTATAACGGCTATAACTAGGGTTACTTTTTTTTTTAAAACCATTCAAACTAATGGTCCAAATGTTTTTTTAATAGAATTATTATTTCTAGCTTTCAAATTTTTTTATTTTTTCATATTCATGATCTCCGTGTTAATGATTATATATTCTCTAAAAATTAGGATCGAATTGTATTTCAAAAATTTATTCATTAAGGGGTCTGCATTTCACCCCATGCTAACCACGTCCTTAAATAATTACTTATTCTTTTAAAACTATGCCCATGTGTGTTTTAAAAAGCGCTAGGTGGAGCCTACGCGGTCGGGGGTCCATGCCGCCCAATGCCCAGGCAGGCCCCAATAACCTAGATGGCCCAGTAGAAAGAAAAATGTTCTCTATAGTTTACCAGTTTAAGTATAACTGTATAACCCTCTAATAGATTTATAAAACATCCAAAACGAAATCTAATATTAATGAGTGATGTTTAAATCAATTTCTACATAACTTTGAGAAACCTTTCCATTTTATAGAAATCACCAAAAACTAGTTTTATTGGGGTTTTTCATCATTCTCTCTAAAATAGGTTCTAACAGGTTTTGGGTTTCAAATGTACCTAAAAACCACAATTTTGCCACTTTAGTATTAAAAACATATTCAATTTGGCCGCCTAGGCCTAGGCGATGCATCCAGGTCTTGCATTGCCTTGGCATGCGCTAGGGATATCCCATCTAATTTGGCCGCCTAGGCCTAGGCGATGCGCCCAGGCGTTCTGCACCGCCTTGGCGGCCGTCTAGGCTTTGAGTGGTCCACTTTTTAAATCGCCGATACCTGTACACATTCTTTGACTTTCTATAAAAATGTCATTTATGATTCTATTAGAACATCATGGTACTATTATTAGATTGTGGCACTATTATTAGTATTGTAATGGTCCTTGTGAAGGTCGAGAACCATGACTCGTCACTGCAACAATAGTACCATCATGGTCGTTTTAAGATATTGAACCATCATGGTACTATTGGTACTGTAATGGTCTACAAAATAAAGTTAGTAAAATTTTTCAAGTTACTCATGTTCATGGTTGGGATCTAAATGACGAGGAGTATTTCAATAATTTAACCGAGTTAGGTAGCTCAAGCCAGATTATAAAAATGCCACTGATATTTAGCTTGGGAAATGGAACAGTCAAATGAATAAAATACCCCTAGTCTAGAATTAACAAGGCAGAACTAGGATATTTTTGTCATTTGATAGTTTCTTGTTCCCAACCCTAGACAACCAAAGATATTTTCAAATTTTGGTTCAAGCCGTTTAAGTTGGCCAAATTGCCATAATACACCTAATTATTCATAGTTACCAGCCCTGACAATGGTACTTTGGTAACTTTTAAACAAAATTTTGAGAATTTACCTTTATGGAATGGAACTTAAAAACTAAACATTTCAATAAAAATGGGATATTTGGAGCCTTTTGTTGATTTTATAAGATTATTTGAGCCTTTCAATGATATTTTCCTTGTTTTCCTATCAAGGGGATCAGAAACTATGAAACTGTTTACCTTGGTTAACCTTTATCATTGTTCATAATCAGCCCTATCCATGAGATTTTGAACTGGTTGAGGTGTATAACTTCTCCACGTACACCTAATTTCGTATGTAATGGCCAAGGACAATATGACCTTTCGTACAAAACGGTTGCTAGTGTTATGCGATACTTTCTCTTAAGTAAAATAGGGGTCTTCATTTCTTTTATACTTTTTTGTAATGGGCATGATCCATATGGTCATCAAAGCTTCATCATATATATTTTATCACCATTCCTTCAGTAGGTTGTAGGATAATGGAAGGACTGAGTCTACCACAATATTTAATTAAATGAACTATTCAATTACCTGAATTATGTGCTTGATCCACTCATTGGACTATAAACCACAAGGTCATGATTAATGTTATTAGGATTAAACGTGCTAGTAAACTATTGAGAGGTTTGGTCTAGATAAAAACGGTCCAACCACTAAGCAAACCAGATAAACCTAATTTAAAGAGGACTAAAAAGAATAATATATAAATGTGCAACAAAAATAAATATGAAACATATATAAAAATTATTTCTTAACTTTGGTTAGCCGGTTGAATCGATGAAAATCAGATGATCTTACCAGGTAAAACATGTCAAATATTGACAAACTCTTGATCAGACCATGTTTTTGCTATAAACCAACCTGGACAAGTCAACGATTGATAATCTACTTGCTGGCCTGATCCAATCTTGATATCTAAAATCGCAATAGCTACTACGACTATCTGGATCATAACATATTTACCCTATAACATCTTTGCATGTATTGAACTTCACAGTAGACTATTGAGGGAGCTGTTTATATCCATGCAAGGCACAAACAGGTACCACAATATAAGTTTTGTTTTTTACTTTTGTGGAAAGCTAATGTGGTTTTCCTTAGGTAATGGGGTTTGGATGGGCGGGGATGTTTCGGAAATATTTAGTGGAGCCGGCCGCTATGTGGTGGCCTTATAATCTTGTCCAAGTCTCCATATTCGGGTAAGGCTTCTTGGTTTGTTCTTGCTAACTAATTTTTTTTGGGAAATATTGAAATAACTGTATGGAATAACTGTTTGCATATTTTAAGGTGATTGTTCAAAAAACTTTTGATTTTGTGCATTTGGAAAATTAGTGTTTTATTTGGATAGTTTTACTCTCACCCAGTGTTTCAAAACCTGGATTGGTGGAGTGGATTGTTCACCGACATATCAGTGTCAGGTCGCTAGACTGGTGATTCTGATTAGGTCTAGATCGGTCTCTATCGGTGACTCAAAGAAATATGAAAAAAGAAAATAAAATAAAAATTAAACGAGGGGGTTTATTGGGTGGAGATCTAGGGGGACCTAACAAAACATTAGGTAAGCTTAAAAAAAAAAAACAAAAAACAAAAAAAAAACAAAACAAAACAAAAACAAAAACAAAAACAAAAAAAAAAAATAATATATATATATATATATATAGATAAAGAGGTATTATGAAGAAACCAGGTCAGGGCCCATAACCATCCTAGAACCGGTTCGGTCCCATCATATCCATCCAAATCGGCAATCTGAATCAGAAATCTCCAGGTTTTAAAAGACTGCTCTCAGGTCAACATTGCAAACCGGACCTTGTAAGAGGTCCAGTGGTTGTAATTTCATCGGGTACCTTAACTCAAGATAAAGAGCCAAAAAATCACACAAGAAAAAGGACAAAATAGTTGTGATTCACAAGTATAAGAACTCTAGGTTCTACTTGTAACGTAGTGGCCAATTATCTTTGATAGATTAAAGTTATTTTTATTTTATTATAAAGAAGTTATATTGTCGATAATAATTCTGATAATATCCTGCCAATATGAATTTTTAGTGATATTTTAAGGCTTTCCACTTTAATTGCGATAAAAACTTTTTGACAATAGTAAGAATGTAATATCAAAGAAAACAATAAATTGAATTTGAAAAGAAATATGTCATTTACAAAACATTTCTCTAAAAATCTCACTAAGGCCAATGTGGAGTGGTTTGCAAGGAATTGATAATGCACATATAGGTTAACGCTATCATGTCCGATAATGATTTTTCATATTTTAATTTCAATATGCATTAGAAGTTTATTTTCCTATTTTAATTTCAATATGCGTTAGACGTGTTTTTTTCTTCTTTTTGAAGGTTGATATATATTAGAAGTTATTGTCAACATTGTTATTCATAAAATTTTCAGGATATTTATGCTTTTTAATGTGTATGATTTGAATTTATATTTATTAATCTCAATAAAAATTTATTTCATGATAAATAATATATTAATTTTATATTAAATTCTCGATTAAGGTGATAATAGTGATAATATCCAGATAAAACTCCCACCACTAATATACCATTAACGATAATAACTATTTCAATCCACTGTCTTTTATGATATGATATTAAATGATTTGGGGCATAGACCCGAATTATGCAGGGGTCCCATGCTGTTCTTCATGTTTTCCCTGACTTTTTCTTTTGGAATTGAAAACTGAAAAGTTAACAATTTTGTGAAGGATCTTAGCCCTTGGGCCAAAAGTTTGTTGAAGGAAAATTGAATCTGTTCCCCTTGGGAAAAAGAACCTGGGAGTATAATTTTTATTTAAAATTTTAGGATTCACTTTACAATCACCAGATGATGATATTGATTTTGAGTTTCTATCCAAACATTGAAATGTCATTACAAGCACATACAAAATGCTATAATTCTTTTTTCCAGATTGGTCGCTAGGTTGAGGTTAAATCTCTGAAATTTGGGATCTAGAAAGGCTCCTAAATAAGATTTTTACCAAATGAAGCATATACCTGTGGGATTATATAATCTTTTGTCGGATACTAATTGATAGAAAAGATTTTGTACTCTTGAAGGAGCCAAATTTGCACTTACATTGGAAAGCAATCTAATCATAGGAGTTTGTTACGTCTCAAAATCTGTAGATCATCTTTATTCATTTTAGCCATTTCGCATCTTAAAGCATCTAAAGGAATATCAACGTCCCCCAAAGAGGGAACACAAACATCTAGGTTTAAATGATCTTTATTCATTTTAGCTATCAATATTTGGCAAAAATATGACTTTTAGCTAGGTGGTTTAAATTTCAAATGTACGAGCCCGAACTGATGTCAAATTTCAAATGAATAAGACATAAGGAATATGCCTCTTTCTAAACTAAATTTGGGAACTAGATTGTTAACTCTACCTCCAAACTCTGAAATGTTAAACCTGGTCATTTATGCTTTTCTTTTAAATTTCGGCAGAGCTTTGCATGAGAAAGAAGAGAGACCAAAAGAAAGCCTGACACGAAACCAATTCTTCCTCGTTGCTCTAATTTGTAGCTTTGCTTACTATGCTCTACCAGGCTACCTCTTTCCCATGCTCACATCTCTCTCTTGGATCTGTTGGATTTTCCCCAAGTCTGTGTTAGCACATCAACTAGGCTCGGGCCTTCATGGCTTGGGCCTAGGTGCCATTGGGCTCGATTGGTCTAGCATTTCCTCTTACTTGGATAGTCCACTAGCTAGCCCTTGGTTTGCAACTGCTAATGTGGCTGCAGGTTTCTTTTTATTCACATATGTTATAGTGCCACTAGCCTATTGGCTAGATCTCTACAATGCTAAGAGGTTTCCTATATTCTCTGAGAAGTTATTTGCATATTCTGGGGGAGAGTATAATATTACAGCCATTGTCGACTCGAATTTCAACATTGATTTGGAGGCATATGAGAAGGGAGGGAAGTTGTATCTCAGCACATTCTTTGTGCTAACATATGGCATTGGTTTCGCTTCTCTCGCTGCAACTGTAGTTCATGTGTTGCTCTTTCATGGCCGGTAAGCTTGGATCCCCATTGCTTATTACTTTGGATTGCTATTGCTTATTACGATCATTGTTTAAATGTGGTTCTAAAGACTAACTAGCAATTTAACCTCAGTACATGGCTTTCAGTGGGCTTTGAATGCAGAGTTTGATTCATTGCATTTATAGCAAATGCAATAATCTACCTGTGCTTTACGTAGAGAGAAAGCACACAAGTAAAATGAGGCATAAGTAAAAATTCTTTTATATGACAAATGAAGCCTTTCAATATGTTGGATATGACTACTCTAGAATTCATCTTGTGCAGGGAAATATTGCAAATAAGCAAGACTACATTCCAAGAGAAGACGATGGATATTCATACAAAACTCATGACCAAGTATGAGCAAGTCCCAGAATGGTGGTTCATTGTTACCCTTATACTTAATATTGCGGCAGCCATGTTTGCTTGCGAATATTACAATGACCAGCTTCAGTTGCCGTGGTGGGGAGTCCTACTAGCCTGTGGCATCTCTATTTTCTTCACTCTTCCAATTGGGATCATCACTGCAACTACTAATCAAGTATAACCTATCCTCTTAATCCAACATATTGCTGAACTTTGTGGTATTGGAGTTAGATGGCCTAACTTGTTAAATCTCCTGTTATCAGAAGCCTGGTCTAAACATCATCTCAGAGTATGTCATTGGATATCTATATCCTGGTCGACCAGTGGCGAACATGTGCTTCAAGGTTTATGGGTTTATCAGTATGAAGCAGGCTGTAACATTCTTACAGGACTTCAAGCTTGGCCATTACATGAAGATACCTCCAAGAACAATGTTCATGGCACAGGTAAAAGATAGCACATTTTTTATAATCATATTGATTTCTATATCAAGCCCTTATTTACAAATTTGAACAGGAGAATCTTTGTGCTAGTACGTTAGGGACTGAAATTGGACAAAGTTCTGCAAACCCTAAATAGTAGCATTTGGGCTTTTAGTTTTGGCAGTTAGGGTATATGACCCAATGTGCTTAAGACATTCATCTATTTGGAAAGCATATAGTAACCAAGAATTTACATTGTACCCTTGCCTGGAATACCCATGCCATGTACGTGCACTCCATGTTGCATCCCACAAGTTGTTTCTAATAAAAAATTGATTAAATGATGTGTTGATATATTTTAAAAAGATAAAGCTCTTAACCAAAAAATAGCCAATCATATCAAATATATTCTTCTAACATTAGCAATATCCTATGGACATGTATACAACAAGATCATTTACCTTTGATATAAGGAGGTGACCATCATTATTGACCATGAGATGCGAAATTGGATAGTCGGAGATGTCATTGATTGGGTACAAAGTCCAAAATAAAATTTCTCAAATTTTGTGACATAATTCAATCTAATGGATTTCACATCTGATGGCTAAGACTAATAGTGACATTCTTGTACTAAAAGTGGATGGTCTTATAGTATACAATCCCATATCTTATACTACAGTTATATTCTTAAACTTCTTATTACTATTCCTGGCCAATCATGCTTAAGTATGTACTTTGGCTTATAATTCATGTAGATAGTGGGAACCATGATCGCAGCTATGGTCTACCTTGGAACTGCATGGTGTCTCATGAACTTGATCCCCAACATTTGCGATACCTCAGTGCTCCCGTCTAATAGCCCATGGACTTGTCCTATGGACCACGTCTTTTACGATGCATCTGTCATTTGGGGACTACTCGGCCCACGTCGAATATTCGGGGACCTTGGTACATATTCTGCTATCAATTGGTGCTTCTTAGGTGGGGCTATAGCTCCTTTTGTTATGTGGCTAGCTCATCAAGCCTTCCCTGACAAAGAGTGGATTCGTCTCATCAACATGCCAGTCTTAATAGGGGCGATTAGCATAATGCCTCCTGCCACTACTGTGAATTACACTAGTTGGATATTGATGGGATTTATTTTCGGTTTTGTTGTTTACAGGTATAAACGTGATTGGTGGCAACGCCACAATTACATTCTTTCAGGTTCACTAGATGCAGGGTTAGCCTTTATGGGGGTGTTACTATACTTGTGGTTAGGGCTTGAGGACATTAGCCTTTATTGGTGGGGTTCAGAGCTTGATGGTTGTCCCTTGGCTTCTTGCCCTACAGCTAAAGGTGTAGTTGTTGAAGGCTGCCCTGTTTACTAGTTGTATACAAAATTGTGTTTTCTTAGGAATGTGTTGTTTCTGTTTTCATGAGGTGGACTATGAAGGACGTGCATTCTCAACAAAGAAAGAGACGTCTTGAGAGGGTGACTAAAGTGCACTTGATTGTAAAGAAAAAAAATGGAAAATAAAAGTTGTAATTCTTTGTGATAATGTAGAGGAGAACTGGTGATTGTTTTGCCCTTTAATCATGGGGTTCTTGGTTTTTTTTATCAGAATTCTCAAGGAAAAGTCCAATGATCAGCTATGGAATTTCCCCTGTTATAAGTTGTAAAATTTTATTGAGATACTTTGGTATGATGGAAGAAATGTTGAAATCAAGTTTCAAGTCAACAAGGTCTTTCCATTCACAATATAGATAAACATCATATGTATCTTAGTAGTCGGCAGTCACAATAGAGATAAAGGTCCTCCATCTTAGTAATCAAGTCGCAACAAAAAGAAGTGTCAGAATCACATAACTAGACACCCCTTCTGATTGTTTACAAATAGACCATTTATCTTTTGTACATAGAAGTCACCATCGCTCGTGTTTTTTAAATTTTAAAATGGGTGGTTGTGAGAGTGTCATTCAATAGGCACAAAGTCTCCAAGAAAAAAATCCTTGTATTTTGTGATTCACTCTAAGCTATCCAATTTGATATCTAATGAGTGGGAACGAGTGGGAATGATTGTGAACTCTATGTACACAAAATAAATGGTCTTTTGTAGACAACCCCTTTCTTTGAATTATTTAAAGTTCTTTTGTAATAAAAGAGAGGGAAATGTACCTTTTATGTGTCCCACAAACCCTAATTTGGGTCTCCCAAATCTTAATTAAGCCCAATACTTTAAACCTTAGATCTAGCCTTAATCATAGGTTGGCCAATTTATTGATCTATTCAAGTCTTAAATCTATTATCTGAAAAGTTCAATCTTTAAGAATCAATAAATATTCAAGCTCTTTCTAAGTTGAAGATAACTAATACAAAACCCCATGAATCTGATCCAAGCCCCAACTCAAGAGTAATTGAATTTCATCATTCTTCCTTAACCGAACTAGATTTTGTAGATTTTGGCACAAGAGCATGGAAAGTTGGATTCAAGGCTCTTTGGCCCAATCGAAAGCCTGGGATGTAAAATCACTTCGATATGAAAAATCGATTCATTTGGGTAAAGTTTAATATGAGTTCGAGCAATGAAACAATCATTTTAAGGGTGCATCTAATCCCGTGTTTGTTAAACAGGAAGTGCCTGTTGTTTTGGAAGTTGCGGCTTCCGGTGATTATCAAAATAGCATAAATTTATGCAAAAATTTGGAAGCCACAGCCTCTATGCTACCCAATAGAAGCCACAGATTCCAAAGTGATTATCAAAATAGCAGAAATTTATGCAGAAATTTTGAAGCCACAGCTTCTATGCTACCCAATAGAAGCCACAGATTCCAAAGTTGGCGGAAGTTCTTCCACCAATCAACACGCCCTAAGAACTATCACAAAGAATTATTAAAACTCAAAAAATGAACAATTTACATATCCATTTGCAATGTGAAATTATAATTGCATATGGTTAATTAAGATGTAAAGTTAAACACTTATTGATGTGGGCACTTACTTTTTTAATTATTGTTTTTTTTGTTCGGTGAATACTTAAGGAGATACTAATTTGATCGCCTAAAGTGTAGGGTAGAATAAACCATCACGGTGTTTTAAGTACCATGATGCTTCAAAATACAGTTATGTTAAAACCATGATGATTAAACCCAATACAGAATCACTTAGAACCTGTTATGACCATCATAATTTTGGGTTAATTGTAATGCCTTCATAGATCTAAGATGACCATGATGAGTAAAAAAAATACAAACAGTCATGAAAAAGGGTACGAGTGAAGTTTTAAAAATTTTACTGTTTATTTTTAATATTTGAAAAAAGAGAAGTTATTCTTATATTTTCTCTTATTTGAAGCTCACATAGAGCGTATTTTGGCAATTTCTTTTATTGAAATTAGTCTATGGTTTGATCCTAAAGTTAATCCTAGAATGGGTTTTGCACATGGGAGTTAATTGACACTGTACTCCCGCGGGAGCATAAATATGTATTTGCTTTGGTTTACGGTGACGATGGATACCGGGCGACCCAGCCGAGCCCTTAAAAAACAAGGATCTGAGCCAAAAGATGTGGGGCCAGCGCCACAATAAGGCTAACCCAGTGGCCCGACCCTTTTTTCATTGATCCTTTTCTCTCCACTTCTATTGGAATATATTTGCCCTTCGACATCCCGCTCTGGTCCCGTGTGTTGCCAGCCCGTGCTACCAAAAGCGTTGCACACATCAGTTGATTTGAAGTTGAGAGGTACGAAAAGGTATACCATAAGATTATTATATTTGGTATATCGAGGTTATATTGATCTCGACCGTTTGATGTGAAATTGAATGGTTTTGTTTTGTTGTATTTATTATATATGAAGGTCACAATTATACTCCATTATTCGATGTGAAATAGGGTGGTTGTGATAGTTGTATCTATTTGAAGTTTAAAAAAATCGGCTATATGGGATTATAGTAGATAAATGATAATAGATTAAAAAAAAAGGGAGAATCCCACCTGAAAATATTAGTATTTTGAGTTTAATTTTCTTAAAAAAAGGATCTAGATCTAATAGTGATCAAAGCCTCACTGGTCCGTTTCCTTCGACATTGGTTGATGTTAAAAAATTGTATTTATATGTCTTTGGGCTTTAGGATTTTATTGGAGAATATCTCATAATAATACAAGATTTTTATTTTTTTTATTGATTGATCAAAAATATACAAGATTACTATAAATATAAGGTTAAATACCGACTATTATGGACAACAGCAACTAATCTTACCGTAATAACTAATCTTACCGTAATGAAGAAACTATAGATAACTAGTAACTAATTTTATCATAATCAAGACACACCAAAGACATACATACAATATGTATTCATAATGACGTATATAAATACATACGCTCATAGTTAGGAATACAAGGCGTTTAACTATTCGAAAATTTTTTGCAGCTTTTTAAGCGTGTTCTCTTCGCCATTATAGACGCTATGCGAACCCTAAACCACTGCTTTCACAGCTTCATACCTGCAATTTCGGGCTTTTCTGCGACTGGAAATCTCTCTCTCGCCCTCTTCCCTTCCCTTCCCCAATGGAGCCAACCAGTGAAGGAAACGGCGACATTGCTTACCTGAAAGAAAAACGCCAACACTTAGAAGAACGCATCGAAAGCCAGAGACTCATCCAAGAAAACCTCATCACTTCTCTACAAACCCTAGTCCCCGACCTTGTCTCTTCTCTCGACCTCTCTCTAAAAGTCCTCTCCACCTTCAGCCCGCCTTCTCTCTCTACAAAGCCCAAAACACCCAAAACCCCCATTAAACCTAAGCCCCCGCCCTCTCCTCCCAAAACCCTGACACCCCAAAACCCTAAATCCACAACATCTCGCCCCCCTCCCTCTATTCGTGCCCTAGTTTCCCAAATCCTCATTGAACGAAACCCCTTCTCTCCTATTGATTCAGTGGCCATCTTACGGAAACTCGAAAATGATCGTGTTGTCGTTGAAGCTGGAGGAATCTCCGCTGTTGAGACTGCACTGAAATCAATCGCGGAATCAACAGGGGCTGTTGATCTTGAGGAATTTATGGTGAGTGGAAAATCTAGCATTATGGTCATGGCAATCGATCAGAACAGGCTCCTTAAGGAGTTGCCAGAAAATTCACAGTTGCCAGAAAATTTGGCTGGAAATTTGGATGTGGCTGGAATTTCTAGGCCAGAAAATTTTCCGGCTGCTTTTCCGGTGGGTCCAGGAATCATGGGGCCAAGAGGGGGGCCAAGGGTTATGGGTTTGATGGGCGCCCCTAGGGTTTTGGGGCCAAATATGAACCAGAGGCCACCCCTTGGTGGCGGAATGGTGAATCAGGGGTCGAAGGCGAGAACTGAGGAGGATGATATGAAGGATTTGGAAGCTTTGTTGAGTAAGAAGTCTTTTAGGGAGATGCAGAAGTCTAAGACTGGAGAGGAGCTTCTCGACCTCATACACAGGCCTACGGCAAAAGAGACTGCAGTTGCTGCCAAGGTTGGTGACATTGAGCTCTCTCTCTCTCTC